TCATCTTTCACATCCAATAAAAGTAAAATCTAGTATAATTTAAAAGTTCAGGAATAAATAACTACAATTTCTCCTTTTTGCTGACATTCTGGGCAGCAACTCTCACTTTTCTGCATTTCTATTTTCAATTCAGTGTGCTTTTGTATTTGTTTTTGACCCATGACTGAAGTTGTCATATTGATGCTGCCAATTCTCTTTGCGTTTGTAAATGAGAAAAACTTTTCCTTTTTCTCACATGGGGAAAGTAGTAAGTCATTTACAAAGGCACACTAGCCGTTAGCATCTGTGGACCATTTTAGGTTCACTATGAAAGATTAATTGACCAAAGAACTGTCTTTTGTTAGCACTGTAGAAATATCTGATCCAAATAGTTCTATCACCAGAAGGAAAGAAGAGTAATGCAAAGGGACATTAAGCTAACAATTAATAAACAAAAATATATAATAAAATAACTGTGAAGCATATTAAAATATTTGGTAAATAAATGCAGAATTACATCTAGATCCATGTTTATGTAATGTTTCTAATCAAAGTGAACACTTAAATAATCAGGCTGATTTGATAATTTTGGTTTAAAAACACAATTAAATGTCTTTCTTCTGATTTTATCAAAGTATAGAACATTACCGACATGGCATTTCACTTTATATAAGATTTTGTTTGTTTTTTCATGGCATACCTAATTAATTTGAATCATTTAAATTTTCTATATACTAGTTTCATGAGTCAGATTCATTTTCATTATTTTCAGAAATATTTAAGGTATAAAAATGCAAACATATGTATTCAGTTGCATTGAAATTTGAACTGTAATACTTTAAAAAAAACTATTAGTATATGTGAACTTCAAACATTCTTGCAAATTATTTGACTTGAATACTTTTCTTACATTTCTCTACATCCTTGCCAACATTTGTTATTTTCCAGCTTTTTGTTTATTTTTTTTTTTCATTATTTAGTGAGTTTGAAGTGGTATCTCACTGTGGTTTTGATTTGCATTTACCTAATGAATAGTAATGTTGAGCATGTTTTCACGTGTTTGTTGTACATTTGTATAATCATTTTGAAGAAATGTCTATTCAAACCCCTTGCCCATTTTTACTCAGTTTATTTTTATTTTTCTTATTTAGTTTAATTAGTTCTTTATAAATTCCGAATACAAGATACTCATAAGATATTTTGATCTTGCAAATATTTTCCCCCATTATGTGGTTGACTTTTTACATCCTTGATAGTAAACTTTGAAACATAGAAGTTTTTAATTTTAATTTTTAAAGTTTTCTTTTAATAAAATTAAAATTTTAAAGGTATCGATTTTTTCATACGTTGCTTGTACTTTAAGTGTCAGATCTGAGTGTTTCTCAAAGGCCATACATTTTTACAGCTAATTTTTCTACTAAGAGTTTTCTAATTTTACCTCTTACATTTAGGTACTTGATCCATTTTTGTAATGGATGTTAGATGTAGTCAGATGTTTTTTCTGTCTCTACTGAGATGATATGTTTTATGTCCTTTGTTCTATTAACAAAATGTATTATATTAATTGATTTTCATATGTTAAATGAACCTTGAATTCCTAAAATCAATTCCACTTGGTCATGGTTTATAATCCTTTTTATATGTTGCTGAATTTGCACCAAATATATATATATATATATATATATATTTGATGCAAATAGATAGATAGATATGGAGTCTAGCTTTGTCACCCTGCTGGAGTGCAGTGGCATGATCTTGGCTCACTGCCACCTCTACCTCCCAGGTGCAGGCAATTCTCTGCCTCAGTCTCCTGAGTAGCTGGGATTATAGGCACCCGCCACCACTCCAGGCTAATATTTTTGTATTTTTAGTAGAGATGGGGTTTCACCATATTGGCCAGGCTGGTCTTGAACTCCTGACCTCATGATCCACCTGCCTTGGCCTCCCAAAGTGCTGAAATTATAGGCGTGAGCCACCACACCTGGCCTCTATGCCAAATTCTTATTATAAATGGGACCCACAGACATAAAAAGATAGTATAGATGTAAAAATGACCTAATATTGCACAGCAAATGTGATTTGTGCTAATTAACATTGTCAACAACTCCCCAAGTAGGGGGCAGTCCTGCACACAGATGATCAAAGGTTGGTTTCAGGGAAATAGGTAAACAAACCTATCTAGATCAATTTTTTTACACTCCCTTGTTATCTCCCCTCTGCCGTTAGCTCACGGAAGAGGATTAGGCTGCCTTCAGTCATAGCCCTTTCCCAGAGCTTTTGGAAAACCTCCTGGCCTTCCAAGAAGGTTTGTATCTTTCCTATAATTTTTCCCACCACCCTGACCAATCTCCTACATCTCCCCCTTTTCTGATTTTTGCATCAGGTTTTGTTGATTAAAGAGTAAAGATGTGTGCAGCAACAGTTTTGTCAGGCACAGCAGTTATAAGTCATTTTCAGCTTTGCATCCTAGAATTAGTAAATAGCATAAGACAAACATGAGTATAATCAGTAACATTTTATTGGCACCACAGTCTAATGTGTGCTATTACTGAGGGACCCCACCAGGGGTATGTCAATCCTTCCTAGCTAAGCAACCGCATCGTTAGAGGCTGGGAAGGGAGTGTCTGCCTAAGTAACATGGTCGAAAAGAGGCATTTAGAAGATGGGCTCAATAGAGTGTAGCAGGTACAGGTAGCACGCAAAGTGAGAGAATAAAAAAGGAACAAATTATCTGGAGTGAATAGTGTTTGTGTTTGGAGCAGGATTCGCTCAGCCTCTTGAGTTGCCTTCTTCAGCCTTCCCCAGGTAATGTCTGGGACTTGTGTCATCCAAGAAAGCTGCATCATCCAGGGCTGTGGGTCCTGCAGGGTCTTTTCCTTCATTTCTGGTACCGGGTTAGGTCGTTGCCATGCCATGGTATGATGTGATGCATCATGCTAGAATCCAGAGAGGACCTGAGGTGGTGTGAACACAAGCATATCCTCTTCCCCATGTTAGCAAATTGTTTGGAACACACCATACATTACTATTTACATCTTTCCATAAAACTGTGAGTTTTATGTTGTGAGAGGTTTTAGCAAAGTGCTTTTCTACAGCTGATTGAAAGTTATCTTTAAAATTTAAAAATTAAGGGTAAATAAGTCTTGTGCTAGTAGTGTTGCAGGATCCTTACTCATATTCCCACTTTTTTGTTATCTGACCATGTTTTTAAGGGTGGAGTGAACTACTTTTATAGCCAAAACTACAGGAGTATGAGATGAGAACTGAAGTAGTTTGTCATCAGGAATATCCTTGAAGAATATCAGCATTGAGGACAATGCTGGCCTCATCAAATAAGTTGAGGAGGAGTCCCTCCTCATTTTAAAAAAATGATTTCCATAGGAATCGTACCAACTCTTCTTGTACAACTGGTAGAATTCACCTGTAAAGCTGTCTGGTCCTGGGCTTTTTTTAGGTTGGTAGACTATTACTGATTCAATTTTGGAGCTTGTTATTCATCTCTTAAGGTATTCAACTTCTTCCTCCTTCAGTCTTGGGAGGATGTATTGTTCTAGCCAAGCAAATTTAAACAGAAGTGCCATGCACTGAGTTTGTTGAGAGTCCACTTTTATGCGGGTGTCTGAGAGTCAGCTAGAGCTCCAACCTCTTGGTCAAGAACAAAGGGCAGTCAACATTTTTATACCAGTTTAGGGTCAGGGGGCAGTAAGCAGATTATTACAGAAGCAGAAGGAGCAGGTTAGAGGAGAAGGGGGTGCCTAACAAAAAGTTCTACTTAAAATTGTTATTTTTACTCAGGATGTGGGGTAGCAGTGTGGGATAACAGTTACACAGTTGCAGATACAGGATGTACAGGGCCGGTGGGACCTGTTTGTCAGAAAATTGGTTACAAAGATGCCAGGTGTCTCAGACCGCAAGCTTTTGGAACAGAATGCCCTGCATAGCTCAGGGTGGACAAAATGGAGTTAGCAGGATTATTTAAAATGTATTCATTATAGCCAAGCTAGGGTATTTCAGTATATGTTTGGGATTTATACATTTCTTCTAGGTTTTCTATTTTGTGCACAGAGGTATTCATCATAGTCTCCAATTGTTATTTTTATTTCTGTGGGGTCAGTGATAATATACCCTTTGCATTTCTGATTATGCTTATTTGGATATCTCTTTTATTCTTTATTAGTCTAGCTAGTGGTCTATCTTATTTATTTATTTATTTTTTAGATTGGCTCCTGGATTCATTGCTCTTTTGAATAGTTTTTCACACCTCAATCTCCTTCAGTTCAGCTCTGATTTTGGTTACATCTTGTTCTGCTAGTTTTGGAATTGGATTGCTCATGTTTCCCTAGTTCTTTTAGTTGTGATATTAGGGTGTTAATTTGAGATCTTTCTAACTGTTTGATAGGGGCAGTTACTGCTATAAATTTCCCTCTTCACACTGCCTTACCTGTGTCCCAGAGATTCTGGTATGTTGTATTTTTGTTCTTATTAGTTTCAAAGAGATTCTTGATTTCCACCTTAATTTCATTATTTATTCAAATGTCATTCAGGAGCAGGTCATCTAATTTACATATAATTGTATACTTTTGAGCAATTTTTTTAGTCTTGAATTCTGTTTTTATTGTGCTGTGGACCTACAGAGTGGTTGGTATAATTTTGGTTCTTTTGCATTTGCTGAGGATTGTTTTATGTCCAATTGTGTGATCATTTTAGAGTATGTGCCATGTGGCAATGAGCAGAATGCATATTCTGTTGTTTTGGGGTGGTGAGTTCTGTAGATGTCTATCAGGTCCATTTAGTCCAGTGTTGAATTCAGATCTTCAACACCTTTGTTAATTTTCTGACTTGATGATCTGTCTAATACTGTCAGCAGGGTGTTGAAGTCTCCCACTATTATTGAGTGGGAGTCTAAGTCTTTTTGAAGGTCTTGAAAAACTTGCTTTATGAATCTGGGTGCTTCTTTGTTATGTCCATATGTATTTAGAATAGTTAGGTCTTCTTATGGAATTAACTCTTTACCATTATGTAACTATATGGAATGGTCAAGAATTTGCACGTCATCCTTGTGCATGGGCCATGCTAACCTTCTCTATATCATTCCAATTTTAGTATATGTACTGCCAAAGTAAGCACCATTATTTCTGTAAGGTCAATAGTTATGTACCCTCTTTCTTTCCTGATTTTAGAAATGTGAATCTGCTTCTTTTTTTTTCCTCTTGATCAGCCTAAATAAAGTTTTGTCAATTTTGTAGATATTTTAAATAATTGACTTTTGAGTTTTAAATATCATCATTTTTTTTCATTGTCTGTTTCATCACTTTCTGCTCTCCTCTTTGTTATATCCTTCCATTTACTGTGGCAGTTGGGGTCATCCTATGTTGTGAATGTCCCCACAGGTTCTGTCCCAACAGATATCTGCCCCAATTCCACAAAGCAAACAGAAGGAAGGAGGAAGTTTAAGGTGGGAGTTTAGGTTATTGATTTGAGATCTTCTTTTTTAAATATAGGCATTAACAGATACAAACTTCTCTCTTAGTACTGCTGTCTCTACATTCAATAAGTTTGGAAAGTTGTGTTTTCATTTTCTTTCACTCTAAAGTATTTTCTAATTTCCCTTGCAACTTCCTCTTTAACACGTTTTGTCTCCTAATGAGAGATGTCACACTGCATGGAGTGTTACTCCCATCTACTGCTAGCAGATTGAATTTAACGAACCTTTGATTCTTTCTCAGGGCTATTGGTGATGCTTCATTGCAAACTGACACTTTTTCTTGTTATGTTCTGTACTTCTAATCACTTAACTCTGGACACATGGTTATGACAACTGGAACTAATCTGTGTCATATGTTTGGCTCTCCAGATGATTAAGACTGATAGTGGTACACTTTTTATTATAAAATAAAAACTTAACGAGTAGCTAAAATCAAGGTATTCAGGTGGCCCTCCACTCACCACCATCAGTAGGCATCTGATGTTGCTGAGCATATATACAGGCTTATCAAAAATTGACCCTAAAAGATTTATGATTCTGTCTCCCTCAATGTCTCCTGGTACACACATCCTAACAAGACACTTTAATTACTAAATACAGCTGTCCCTAGAAAAGAATCACGTCTTCTTAGAAACTTTCTGGGTAATGAATGGGATGAAAGTATTGGAGAATTATACAGACGTATTTTGAAATTTTAGGATTATGTCTTGATTATTCCTGAACATCACACTTTTTTTTTCTCTAATGACAAACTGAAGATGGTCTTCTTATTATACACTTTAAGGGGGCCTAGAGGATTCCAATTTAATTCTAGTTCAGCCACCTGCCTTATCTGGTTGGACTGATATCATCCCACATCATAAAAATAATGACTACTATGTTGAATACAATGCTCACTGGGTCTCCCTATATTGGTTGAATATAGGTAAATGATATAGTGAGTCTCCATTAATTTTATAAAAGTGTCCTTTAACTCTCACACACTTTCCCTCCATATCTGGTTGCAAACTGGAGATGACTGGAAGAAGAAGTGAAATTATAGCTATTGGATTAGGACATACTTGCTTGTTTGTTTGTTTAGTAATAGTGGAGGAAACAACCCAGGCATATGAGGAAAAAATATTTTACATCTTGGAGGTATGGAGTAAGTGAGGCATTAATGATTTTTCATCAGAACTTCTTGTAGCCACCCTTGTTATTAAAAACTTGTTTTTCTCTTAAACCATTGTTAAGTGTCTAGAATTTAATTGATTCATGGGTCTGTCTAATCACTATTCTCAACCCACTGACTGTATATTATGATAGCCATTTCCCTTAATCCTTCCAAGAAATCTGCCAAAAACACTAGAGGATGACTCAAACTCCTGAACCTCTCAGGCAAAACTCATCAGTATCTCCAGATGTCTTCCCTACTCCCATTCCAATAGCCACTACTCAAACACTCATGTGTTGGATAAATGTCACCCAGTTGGTGGCATGAATCAATAGGGCATTTTGGATAAAGTGCACTCAGGAAGTCCCTCCAAAAATCATGACTAGACTCAATTATTAAAATTGAATTATGAATCTTATAGTTTATCAGCTGGCCAGGAGGTCATGTTGAAGACACTGTAAAATTCTTCCCCTACTGATGTAGGTTGTTAGCAAACCCTTATTTCCAGTGGCACCACATGCATTCTTGAAACTATACTTCTTATATGGAAGCCAGACATTAACTTCCCTCCCTCCCAAAAATACTGTGACTTACACCCTGGTGGTGGTTACAAGAGATTTCCTAATGTTAAAGGAAACACCAACAGTGCATTATAATATGTTTCTTAGATGACCATAGAAACCTCTCTAAAATGAAACTACACGTGGTTACTCGGAGGAGCTACCTAGAGGGATAATTGACTTGTTATTTTTACACCCTCTGTAAGCAGTTGTCTCTACAATGTGGTCATCCAATTAGAAAAGGCAGTATGAAATTTGTTTCTTACTTTAACTAAAGTAGTCAATGACACCACTTTAGTCCGGAAGTCATCAGATCAGTTCAATTTACCGGCCAGGTTTGTTATGGATAGATAGGCGCAAACCAAGATGAGATCTTGTGCAATTGCTTCTGTAACTGTATTAATGTCTCAGGTCAACTGGAGCTATCAATACAGAAACTTAGGAAGAAAGCCACATGGCCTAAAATAGACTGTAATGGATTATGACTTTTATTCTGTTGGTTAGATGTTGGACCCTGGGAAGCATAGTTAAGCTCAACACAGAAGGTCAGCAGATGCTGATTTGAATCCTATTGGTAGTAGCCTTAATTAAATCCTTGTGTAAGACCACTTAGATACACATATTCCCAGCTTCTGTCAGATTAATCATGGTCACCAACAGAGTGGCATACTCATGGGAAAATTTGCCAGAATCCATGATGGTGTAGAACAAATCTCTATTTGTCTTTTACTTTTCTACATAGCTTTTAAGTGAAATATTGCCTGTCCTTTTTCCAGACTATGTTTTCAAGAATACATCATGAACAGCCTTGGAAGATTGTGCTACTCTCCAGAGGAAAGGATAGGTTTTCTCACACTTACTCTCTAGTATAATAAAGATAATTGTTCCCTCTGGAGTAAAATGATAGGCCTTGTTACCACCTATTATAAAAGATTTGAGTTTCCTAAGTTCAGAATTCTCCTTTAACATAATCCACTATTTGTCCAGCATCTCTCTGGGTCCTATAAAACTTGGGGGCATAAAGGAATTGATGAAAATAGGCTATTATTTATATTGCCCATTGTTCCATAGTAATAAATGCCTTTCTCTTTGACCCAGGACTCATATCTTCTGCTAGCATAATATGACAGGCCAACATGATAGTGTAAATTTAGGGTAATATATATTAGACATGTCGCAGTTTTTGACATGCAGGAGAGAGAACACTCACACAAAAAAAGCTTTTATCATACTACAGGGTGTAATCCAGTTTTGCATCTAATTTAGAAATTTTATTTCAGCATTTTTTCATTAGTTTCATCATTCTAGTTTGAAAAATCCATTTCAACCCTCTGTTATTCTGTTAGTTATAATCTCAATGATTAAAGTAAAAATGTAATGTGCTCACACTGCATGTTAGATTTTTTTCTGTAACAATTTTGCTTTATAATAGCATAAGCTCACTAAGAATGGGCTCTATGACTCCTCCCACTTTTCTATCTCTTCCAGCATACTTTATGAAAGCTAATATTTCAAAATAGAATTTTAGATTAATAAATATAAAATTTTATACCTGGCCTTGCTTTTTCATGTCCTGCATGTTTCCAACAAGATTTGACAAGTTTTGAACCAAAGAATAAATTTATATGCATATAAAACAACAAGGACATGAAAAGAAAAAGAAAAAGAAATCCAGAAAGCATATATGGTTATGACTATCATTCTCCAAATGGATAAATGAATGACTAACATGTGAGTGAATAATTTAGCTATATGTATAAGTAGCTGGAAATAGAGTTTTAATCACTATTAACCATTCTCATATAATTCTTTGTTTTCTGGGACCTGAAATAATGATCTTGTTTTCATATACCAATTTTTTTTTATTTTTGCATGTTTCCAAAATAGAGCTAACCAAATCTGAAAAATATTGTTTGTATAATAAAATATTGTTTTTTTAATTGTAATTTAGGTTCTGTGGTACATGTGCAGATCATGCAGTATTGTTGTGTAGGTACATACATGGCAAAATGGTTTGCTGCCTTCATCCCCCCATCACCTATATCTGGTATTTCTCCCCTCATTATCCCTCCCCACATTCCCCAACCCAGATGTCCCTTCCCTAGCCCTCCCCCAACTGACCGAAGTGTGTGATGCTCCCCTCCCTGTGTCCATGTGTTCTAATTGTTCAACAAATATAACTAATATTTTCTGGGAGATCATAGATTGTAACTGGATATGTGTTACATCAGAGGATATCAAAGAAAAATATGCTTTTTAAAACACAGAAATATACATATGCAGATGTTCCTTGACTTAATATCCCATAAGCCCATTGCAAGTTGAAAATATCATAAGTCAAAAATGTATTTAATACCCTAATAAACCCATCTGAATTTTTTAAAATCATAAGTTAAACCATCATAAGTTGAACTATCATCAGGAATACAGGATTGTCTGTATTTCTTTCTAAATATTGGGATATATACAATCGTGTATAAGTATCATATATACAGATATATATGTGTATGCCTATATCTTATGCAAAGAAAGAAGAGTGTAGGAATTTTTTCTTCCTTTCTCTACTAAAAGCCCATAGACGTTCCAGTTATATATCACAAGATTATAGCATTTCAGTATTATTCTCAATTTACTTGAGGAAACGTCACTAAAATTCAGTATGCAGACAAGCAAACATGCTATGTTCTTCTAAATCCAATTACTCAAATCATCATTAATACAAGTAAAGTAGCACAAAGGGAGCAGCAGTATTCAATTAAAATAATTAGGAGGCCTACAGCTTATCTTGATAGAGCATGAACAATTATATTTACAGGTTTTCTGTGCCATTAACACATATATCCCCATGGTAAACCTGAAAGTCATAATACAAACTGCACAAAGCTAAACAACTCCAGGCACAAAATCTAACAACCCCTGATGTAAGCAG